CTCTTTCTTGTGTCCCTCTATCATGCTAGATTCTTCCCCTAAACATGCATATTTTGTGCTTCTTAAAGAGAAAGTTGAGTTCTGGTTGAAATAAAAAATATATTTTTAAGCATTCTCACTCTGTGTATGTCAGTTTGGAAGGATATCATAGTCGAAATGTCCCCTTCAAAAGATTGCTACTCAAATGCCCTCTTATTTGAAACTGATGATAATTAATCGATTTTTAATGTGCGTCTTTCCCCTTGCCTATGTCTCTCTATCATTCCATTTTATTCTCCAAAACATGCATCCTGTATTTTCGGAAGTTACAGAGAAGGTTGAGTTCTGGTATTGGTGAACAAATTATAATGCAACTTTGTCATTCTTTGTATATCAGTTTGAAGTGATACCATTGTAGAAATGTCCCGTAAGAAAGGCTTCTGATTCAAATGCCCTCATAATTGAAATTGATGAGAATGAATTGACATTTACATTCTTGTGTCTTACCCCTTGCCAATGTCTCTCCATCATGCCAGATTCTCCCCAAAATATGAGTCTCATATTCTAAAAATTAAAGAGAAGATATACTTCTAGACATGGCGAACATATTATGATGTGAGTTTCCTCATTGTTTGTAGACGCGTTTGGAACTATACCAGAGTAGAAATTTCCTGTTAATTAAAATGCCTTTCAAATGCCCTCATATTCAAATATGATTAGAAATAGCTGAAAAATTGGAACCAACATTTAATGCCTCACATAAGTGTGGTCCCATATGCCCATTTCTAAGTGCAGGTGATATAATTTTCAGAAAGACTTAATCATTTTCTTATCACTCTGATGATTGCAAAATATCAATTAAGTATACACCAATTCACATGTTCTACATAACCAACGTTTTTCAGTTGATTCAAGACAGTTTGTTTCACAGTGTGATCACATGACCAATGCTTGACTTCTTCTTTAAAACCTGTTTATCTCAAGGCTTCACGCCGTCATGTGCAACATTCTCTCTAAAAAATCAATAATATTCATCTCACGTTCTTCCAATATTGAAAAGTGAAAGGTTGCTGCCTTTGAAGTCTAAAAGAATAAAAGCCAAATAAAAGCTAAAATTAAAATGACTGTGCATGCTTTGCATCCCGAGGTGAATAAATGCAAATGTTATTTGCACCATTTTTATGAATGCACATTTGTTATTTGCTGCTAATCTTGCTACCTGGAACGCACATGAAGGTTCATGAGTTCTGATTACACAAAGGCTGTCAGTATTTTTAAGGATAGTATTGGCCTTTTGGTGTGTGTTATAAGCTTAAGCTTCCAGCTGCATCGATGTAAGCTGGCTCACTAATATTTATTCCATAGATCATTAAAACAATTTAAAGAAAATTTAATTAAAACAATGGTTCAATGCAGTATTTTTGAATGATTTCTTGTACAGTCCTAATACACATTAAAATATCAATAAATGAGGTAAAGAGAAAGGGTGAATTCCAGATGTTTGAAGTGGAGTTAAACCAATATGTGCCGATAGCATGCAGGAAGTCTTGTTTTACATGAAGAAAAGATTTTGCTTTGTATTTGGAATTCTTGCCTTGGAGAACATATTCTGGGTTATAAATAATAAATTTGATAGCACCTTAGGTAGGGATAGAGCAAAAACATTTAGTGATATTTCAGAGTAACAAAAATAGCTCTACACAGCCTAGAAAGGTGATGATTTCTGTATGAAGGCAGTCATGCCTTGCTTGATGTGGCGGTTGAATTCACCTGCATGCTGAAAGATAAATCAAGGGGTGTCCCTCAGGGCGAGATTTGTGGTACTCTATTGCTCTTCAATCTCAACCGCTAATATGTTCCCACCTGAAGTTTGCTCTTTCGTACTCATGGTATACATTATTGATGGCATTCCCATGGTATGTTCCCTCTTGCATTGCGCTCTCCTAGCTATTTAACACCCATGCTACTGACTCTACATGGTTGTAGCTGTTTCACATTCATGATTCCCTTGTTCCTTATTCCTTATATCATGAAATTCTAGTTTCAACACATTTTTTTAGACTAACCTCCATTAAACAGGCATCAGAAAGTTAATCCATGACCTCTCACAGATTCCCTCTTTCCTGATTAAAACAGTCTTCATTTTCTACCCTCAATTTCATTATGAATTTTGTAGCACAGATATTTAGCTCAATACAGTTTTGCTATAAAAAGTTGGTTTGTTGCAATGTCAAGCATGTTAAACAAAATGTGCCACCCCCCCCCCCCAAAAAAAAAAAAAAAATTATAATGAGCAGGCACAGTGTGTTACAATATTCTGAATATCCGGTATCTGTGTTAATTGAATAAATAACATGGCTATCATAACAAACCAGTGTTTGACTCTCTATTATCCTGAGTTATCTACCATTACTATTAAAGACCTAGCTCACACTCAGCCTGGTGGCAGGCAGTGGTGGGATACAAACCCACTCCGTCAATCTTTCTAGTAAAAATCTCATTTTTAGAAAAGTATTAGGGAAAATACTCTAATATGAAAAGGTCCATCTATCTTCTATTATCACATTTCCTCCTATCCTGTCCCTCGTGGCAATGAGATGCATTTGTGATGAGCATTACACTTCACTCCTCCAGAACGGATGTTCATGGCTTTGTGATAAATCTTTACCCCAGAGAAAAATCCACATTTGGTAGCAAGGTGATGTTTTCCATGTAATTCTTGCAGTGCCTTTCAGTCAGGTTTCTTTATTTGACATTTCTGCCATCCTTTTAGGGCAATTTGGTTTATTCCCATGTAATTTCTGCATTAGAATATTGATTGTACCATTAATCCTGCTTAAGATTGTTGAAGTGGTTATTTCTAGTTTTTGTTTGCATATCTCCAGAAGAAAAAATATCTTTGGAAACCATAAGTTGGCTTCTATAAAAAGAAATAATGGAATGACGTGTTTCTTGATGGTGTATAGCTGTCCGCTGTACATCTTCTTTTAGGTGGATGATGGTGTTGGTGTGGGAGGGGTTCAAGTAACAAAGGAAAAAGTATTACTCTTAGCTCATGGCTTCAATTAACGTCTATTTTTGGTAGTCCTACGTCTACAGCATGTATAATGTATTCAATATTGACAGACTCTTTTGTGCATGCATGCATTCTGAGCAATTATTCACAATAAAGTAAAGAGAAGTAAGTGCGTATTTAACTTGTCATTTCTCATTACTAGTGGAGGCTTATAAACTCTCTTTCTCTTCCTCCGTCTCGATACCATGCCAACCATCCTGTATTACACAACGACAATTGATTTTCATTCACTGTGCAATTGAGAATGCCTTTTTCCTGTTTACTCGCCACATTTAGCCCATTGTCGTGGTATTCGATTCATTTGTAGTTGTGAAAAACCTGTTTTGTGGTCAGTTTATCTAACCTAGATATGAAGTGACTGATGTATCGCCTTCTACTTGGAAGAAGGGAGTTAAAGAGAAGGTTGAGTTCTGGGAAGAGATGAAAAATAATTTGTGAGTGTGATCATTGTTATTATGCAAGTGTGGAAGAACATTCGATAAAAAATGTTCCCTGAAAAGCATGGCTCTTCAAATACCTTGATATTATAAATATGGCATGTAACATCAATAAAATCAGGACAGATTTTTATGCCACATGTTTATGTAGTCCCATATCTTTCTGTGTACAGTGCTTGTAACTTTAACAAGACTCGGCCAAATTTCTTATCATGTTGATGATTCCAGAACCTTACAGTACACACCAATACTTATATGCTACATGTAGATGATCAACCTTTTCTGATCGATCTCACAACGTTTCTTTCATAATGCAATCGCATGACCAGAACTGGTCTATGCCTTTAAGTGTCATCTTTTATTGTTAGGAAGGAGGGAGTTAAATCTATGTAAAAGAGTAGGAGTTATCTCCTTTCTAGCCTTCAGCAGGCAGTATGATCTGTCTTTGTGATTGAGAATAGAGGATGATAACAAAAGGAGAAACTTGAGCATGTATTTACAGATTAGTTGAGAGTAAGAAGGGTGTAAACTCTCTTGAATTATAGGACTTAATTCCCTTTTAGCTCTTAAAGGCCCACTGCACTACTGGTAGCTACTTGCGCCCTCTATATAACAAACAATGCCTAATCGGTGACCATTGGTCCCCCATGATCCTCTTTTTCTTATGTTAACTGAGAGCTGAGTTGATGAGATAACCACCTGTCCAGTGACCTTGCAGAGTGGTCTAATCCCTCCTGTAAACTATGGCAGATAAGCTTTAACAGGTAGTATTGTCCGTTTGGGGCCAGAAGGGTGTTAACTCATATACTTGAACACAGAGTTAATATCCTTATGGCTCTGACGAGATGATTTGAGGGCTGTGTGTGATGGAGGGTGAAGGGTAAACTTGAGAAAGAATTGTATGAATGAAGTGAAAACCTTACAAAATAAAGAAATGCAGACAGGTTTAAATAATTCCAGAATGAGAATGGCAAGTATAGAAGGATATATGAAGAATAGTTACCACTAGCAACAGTACTTACATTTGTATTTGGAAAACGATTTCTATGTTTTAGCCTCCAAAAACGATATATTCTTAATCTTAATTTTAGTGAAAGAATTTGTATTTTTATAATAATCATATTCGATTGCAGCTTTCCATTGGTGTTTGTGCAAATGTAGGCTGTGTACATTGACACCATGGGCATTTATATATGTCCACCCCTTCTAGTAAAGTTGAAATAACTTCCAGAATATCTCTGAGTTTTTTTACTTCAATCTCTAGAGAGAGAGAGATCAAGGTTGATTTTGCACAAATTTGAAATATATGTGTTGCATAATTTGTGGTATGTTGGATATCACATTTGACAAATGTGTATGACAGATTTTGTTGTATACCGGGGTAATAGTTTTTAAAAATGTTGATGTTTTGGCTAAATGTTTTTTTCTTCTTTCTTTTACATACCGGTAAGAAACGTGTACATGTAAGTTTTGAGGCTAAACATCTGTGTATTTTTCTTTCTTTACAGGAGAAACGTAGTCTGTCCAATCATTGATGTTATCAGTGATGATAACTTTGCCTTCCATACTGGTTCTGATATGACGTACGGTGGTTTCAATTGGAAGCTACAGTTCCGCTGGTATCCTGTGCCGCAGAGAGAGGCTGATAGAAGAGGAGGTGACAGGACAATCCCTCTCAGGTGAGAATCTTTCACAAAATATCCTCAGTATTTCCTCAAATATCCCTTGTTTTTCTTAAAATATCCCCACCATTTCCTTAAATATCCTTAGTTTAAATATTGTTTGTATTTCTTAAAAATATCCTTTGTATTTCTTAAAAATATCCTTTGTATGTCCAGAAATATTGTTTGTATTTCCTAAAAAACATCTCTATTATTTCCTAAAATATAATTTCCTAAATTATCCTCAGAATTTACTCAAACATCCTTTTTTTTTCCCAGAATATTTTTTGTAGTTACTAAGGTATCCTTTCATCTGTAAAGTAGCTTTAATTCTAGTATGCCAACAGCCCTGGAGCTTGATGGCCTACAAGACTGACAATGTTTGAATAGTCTGTTGAACCCTCTAAAGAGTTGTTATAGTCAGAGGGTAACCTCATGAGTATCATTAATGCCCCTTCTTTGGGCTCTGCAAGTATTAGCTCAGCATTGCCAGGTACACTTTCATTTCTCTGGGTTTAGAGGGAGAAATGTGCATGGGCTTAACAACTTGTCCAAGGATGTAAGCACTGAGCGGAGGATTGAACCCGGGACCTCTTGTATGGAATCAAGAGCATTCTACAATCAATATACCACAGGGCTTCATTGCATTTACATCTTGTAATATATGTCTTGTAATATACATCTTGTAATATACGTCTTGTAATATATGTCTTGTAATATACGTCTTGTAATATATGTCTTGTAATATATGTCTTGTAATATACGTCTTGTAATATATGTCTTGTAATATACGTCTTGTAATGTACATCTTGTAATATACGTCTCGTGATATACATCTTGTAATATACGTCTCGTGATATACATCTTGTAATATACGTCTTGTAATATAAGTCTTGTAATATATGTCTTGTAATATATGTCTTGTAATATACGTCTTGTAATATAAGTCTTGTAATATATGTCTTGTAATATATGTCTTGTAATATACGTCTTGGAATATACGTCTTGTAATATATGTCTTGTAATATACGTCTTGGAATATACGTCTTGTAATATATGTCTTGTAATATACGTCTTGTAATATACGTCTTGTAATTTACGTCTTGTAATATATGTCTTGTAATATACGTCTTGTAATATACGTCTTGTAATATATGCCTGAATTAGATCACATCTTGTAAGCATGATCGTACATGTACCTTTGCTGTATGTACATGAAAGCACTGGCTGAGATGCCATTCCTACTCTCCATGTTCACATACCAACATGATTGAGGGGAAGACCTGTATTCATTCAGGTCGGCAGAGTTCACTTTGGGGCGCATGACGGCTCGCAATCATCCTATAAATATCTCACGGCAGTCGTGCATTAGTCTAACAACACAGATTCTGATTTGACACTCTAGGATAGATGATGGCAGCTTATGCTGGGCATACATTAGTCTGCTGGCAAAGACTCAAAATTGATATATTGGGCTGCATGAATGGATAGCTGGCAATCAGCCCATCATTAGGGACTTAATTAGTCATGTATTAGTCTAAATGCACAGATTTTAATTTTACACTCTATAGGCTGGCTGCATTTAGCTTGCAATCAGCCATCAGAAGTTGTACATTAGTCTGCAAGTGCAGACTCTAACTCGATATTCAAACAAATGCATCAAGCTCAAACCAATTTAGCCAGCTAAGTGATATACTACTAATAATATTGGATATTTGTATAGCACACATATCCACCATGCATGGTGCTCACGGCACTCCAACATTACCCCAGCTCTGCTAGGCAATGGCATTCAAGGAATTCCTTCCTACCGGTACCCATTTAACACCTGGGTGGAGAGTGGTAAATGTTAAAGTCATGACAATTCATAAGCTGCAATACTTCATAGGTCATTTTTGTGCATTTTTTCCCTTCAGTATACTAAGCTTCCTATGAAAAGTCATTACCCAATGTTGTGCTATAATTTCAGCTTTGCTGTATAATGCTATCTGTGTCGAATATTACTTGTATGGTAAAATAATTTTCAGAATACTAACCCAGATATGCCATACCCTGCATAATGCATCAAGACTTAGAGGTGATTGTGCCTGTATAAACTCAATCATAGCTGAGTTTGCAGGCGCAAACCAGTGTCTGAACTGCAAGACTATATAGATTGCATTTCATAGGCCCTGTAATGTACAGCTTCTTTTGACACAAGCGCTAGTGCCCTTAGGTAAGGCATTAATTCTCATTACCAGGTCCCTCGGAGAGGACCTTAAGCCGTCAGTCCTCTGGTTTCTTACTAACAAGCATTTATGCTTTCTTAGCAGTCAGGTAAAATAACCACCACTTAAACAAAAACAGAGACTGACACAGTTTGACTAGACTCAAGGCCCTATGGAATTGTATGTACGTGTCTGAATAAGAGTCTGCATCTTCATACTAGTCATGCACCTGTGCATGGGGGTGCGTTTGGTTTGTGTGTCCAGAGAACGTCTGGAGAGGAGCGCAGAGAGTACATCCCCCAGTCGTAAGCTGATACGTGCCCCCTCCACTCTTTGACAATGGTATTTGGATTCAAAACATCCTTTTTCACCTGCCCCGATGCAGCTCTGATTCTCGCAGTATCTAGAGACACCGCCGGCAGCCCTTTGCACTTTCGCAGCAGTCAATTCTATGGGTCTCCTATTAAAGGCAGTGCATACATTTTTAGCTGCCCAAGAATATATATTGCCTCACCCATAGCAGTTCAGAGTTATCTACAATCTAACTTAGTGTAAATGAAACAGCTTGTCTTCAAATTGGCAACAATGATGTGTATTTTCCACTTATCTACATGTAGTGTGAATGAAAAGTACAAACAAATTGGAGGGAGTCTCACGCCACCACGCTCATACTCCCGCCACCACGCCCTTCCTCCCGCTCTCCCGCTTCGATGTAAAATCTCCCAGTTTATGTAAAAATCTCATGCCAAACATGGTAACCACAATTTCATCTTCTTTTTTGTTTTTGCTGAAGGAGAGGTGGGGGGGGGGGGGGGTGGAATGTTAAGAAAAAAAGAAAAAAAAATATATATATATATATATATATATATATAGTGCTCACTATTATTATTATTATTAAATTCTGCTAGTAGTGTTCGACTGTTAGTTAATGATGATGATGGTGATCCAAAGCACTTGTATGGCGCCATTTACTGTATCTGTTTCAAAAACTCAATGTTCAACTGCTAAGAGCCATGCAGAAGGAGGTTGAGTCTGTATAAAAGTGTACATGGAGGAATCAATCCCCGTTTGGCTCTCAACAGATAAGATATTCCTTTGAGGGTTTTCGCCCGTAATAAATTTGTGAAAGACGATAGCCCTTGGAATTAAGCGTTCCCCTCAATTTGTTACCCAAATTAAACTTCCTAACAAGACGTGATTTGCAACATCAAGATTGTGTTAAAGAGAAATCCAACCTTGATAGCGAACTGCTCTAGAAGAAAGCAGAGAACCATTTGTTCCAAAAGACAAAATTGCTAAAATTTCGAATTTTCAAAAATGTATGAATCAGGAGGGTCTTTTCTCTTTGGAGGACCTATAATAACATGCTATTCATGATATATTTTTAATAGTGCCCCAAGGGAGAAGGCATGTACAAGAAAAAGAAAATTAGTGATGTTTTTTTTACATAAGAAATGGGAGAGTTGTTTGTGTCTACTTCATAATCCATGGACCTAATTGCTAATCTAAGATTTGCGATAATAGTGATTTAAACTTTCACGTCTGATTTATTTCAAAGCTTCATCATCTTTTTTATCTTATTTTCCTGCTTTCATGCAAATGGACTTATTACAGGGGTTGGATTGCCCTTTAAGGAGACTTCAGAGACTCTGCATATTTTGTCTGACCATGTTTACACTTGGGAAATCATTGCGTTCTTCTTTACGTCCCGTCGGGAGGGAAAGGAATCGTGCGGTAATCAAAAGTGCAGGCAAAACCGAACAGGGAGCGTGAGGGGTCTGCGGTGTTCCCGAGTAATTGCGCTATATCTTGTGCAGTCAGGCCCGTAATGCAATTATTCACGAAGCACATGAATGTCATTCTCGCAAAGTATTGCAAGGTCCTTGTGTGATATTTTATACACTGGGCGTGAGCCGCTCAGAATGATGTATAATAAGTTGTCTTTTGAAAATATTTTTGTTGTAGACCTGGTACGTGTGTCTACATTAATGGGTGGAAGTAGTCAAATTACATTGGCTAGGCCTCAGTCTGCATGTAGTCATTCTAAATGATGCCTTTCTAATTATGGATGATAGTGAGATATTGTACTGCTTATCACCAAAGAGCTTCATTGAAAATTAAATTCCTTTTAATTTTGAGTATCAGAAAGCACCTGTTTAGCTTTTGACAATGCATGGAAAAATTAATCCCAAATAAGTTTTAGTTTTAAATGAGCTTTTAAAAGTATATTTGTAAGTCTTTACATAAATCTCTCCTCATGATAATTATTTCAAAAACATTTGTATACATGTAATTCATCTATCTTGCCTCACCCTTGAAACAAACAAGCAAAAAACACAACAAACGTACAAAAAGGCTTCCAAGGCATTTCATGCACAGTGTATATTAGTGTAACACTTTGATTACCGTAAATTGCCTTTTAAGTTGAGGTTTGTTTGATTTTTTTTAATACTGATCTTCAACTTTCCAAATCCGAATTGCTCTGTGTCAATATTCCACGTTTTGAAAGCAATGTGAAAGAGAATTTCATGTTATCGAGACATTTGCTCTCCCTTTATACTACGTGAAGAAATGCTCATTGATATGCATAGCTTTTTAAATCCGATTCTTAACGGCTTGTAGCTCCTAATTGTGATAGCTTTCTGAAGCATTAAAGGTACATTATAGTGTCAGTCATCATTTCAGATAAGTGAAAGGGATTCTTCACTTCTTCTTAAGATAGTGTGAAAATATTGTCTGCTGAGAGCCTGGAGGGTGAATTGTCCTGGAAAGTTACCCCCCTACATAAAATTAAAATATATATTTACTGTA